GCGGCCCACGAACATGAGCGCCAGGGTGCCCTGGGCGGCCGAGGCGGCCTGGAAGATGACGCCGACGGTCGTGATGATGCCGACGACGATGAGGCACAGGCGCCGGCCGTAGCGGTCGGCGAGCCAGGGCGTCACGAAGCAGGCGGCGAAACACCCGGCCTGCAGCGTCGACACAATGTTCTGGTCCTGGTTCGTCTTGTGGGCCTTGGAGCTGTCAAAGTAGCCGAAGCGCTTCTGCGTCTCTTCCATGGCGAGGACGCCGCCTATGGCGCCAATATCCAAGCCGAAGAGCATGCCGCCGAAGCAGGCTGGAGGGTGTTAGTGATGCTGACTGCGTGGCTCAGGAGACGTGCGGTTGTGGAAGGAAAGCGATGAGCAAGGAAAAGGGGCTGCCACTCACAAGCACATGCCAGAGCAAAGACCCTCCAGCCGTAGATCTCATGAGGATCAGTGCGCATCGCCTCATTGCGCACAATGGCGCGGAGGAACTTGGAGATGCCCATGGTGGTCGATGGTAGGGACCGTCAGGAGATGTGTGTTTGCCACTTGATCTTGGTGTTTCCAAGACGAGTACTCCAGAAGATGGCCTTCTAGCAATTATTGGACAGGGAAGCAGACAGCAATGGCAATCCCAGAAAAGAGGAGATGGAGGGTAGCAGCAGCAATATGTACTCTCACGAGGAGCATCAGAAGCAAGTCACCGCCAGAGCGGCACAACACATGGCTCCCACCCCTCCCAGATGATCTTCCTTTCACCCAGGTGCTTCTGGATAGGCGCTCTGGAGCCTGGCCCCAGCTTCGTGACACGGCCGCCGGGGCTGCGATTGGCGTGCTGGTGACGATCTGAACAGTGCGCTTGGGTTCCATGGCCGGCTAATTCTGGCAAAAACCTACCGGTTCATCCCCTCGGCGGCCGTTCTGCGTGTGCCGCATGGCAGCCTGTTTAGTTCGCACGGTAGTGAAACCCCAGATATCAGATACGGCATGGTCAACGAAAGGTGGACGACACCATGTTGGGGGGGGAGCTTGAAAATTAGTCCACGAATTGGCTGTTGCGGGATGAGCCTATCTCTGTCATTGTTGTACTGAACCATGTGCCATGAGTCGAACCGCTTCACAGAAGGCACCGCGCTATGTCTTTGACGGTCTCTCCTCGTAGTCGTGTCCTGCGCTGTGCAGTGAGACCATTCTGACGGCTCAAGTACCGACTGCCAAGCCGCTACGTCCCAGCCTCCAAATGCTTGTTGACAGGCCCCAAGTCCAGAGACAGGAAGCTCCCCGCTCGAGACGCTGCTCTCATCTTTAGCCGGTAAGTAATCAAGTAGAAGTAGGTAGGCTTTGCGGGGAGGGGATGGGCAGAGCAGGTAGCATTGCAGTAGCGCCGTCCATGGCCCGAAGCAATGTCGGAGAGGGTGTGCTCGGCTACCGGCACCAAGCGCCGTCATTCGGGCGTTGGGTCGCCCGCATGAGGGGTTCTTGCTGTGTCGATCTTGTGAGCTTGACTTGTGCTAAACATGGTGCTAGATCATATCAGTAGCAAGCTCGAATTGGCCGTAAGGGGGATCACCATATCAGTCTCGGTATGCCAGAGGGCGGATGAGTGACGTTCGATGTGTCAGGCACTTGGTTCTACTGTACCTGTTGTATAACAATTAGGGTCTAAACGGAAAGGGTTTGTTCAAAGGCGTAGAAAAGAGCCCAGACATTTCATCTTGGTCAGGCGGCTGCGCGCCTTCATAGTCTCGTTCTGCCTCTCCTCGAGAACGTACACCTAAACACCCTTGCCCTCCGTCTCAACCCATGCCGGCACAGCAGGCGGCGCATCCCAGCCCTCGAGATACGTCCCCCGCGCGACGCCCTCGCCCGCAGGTCGCGCAAACACGGCCGCCACAAACCACGCCTCCTCGCCCGCCTTCAGCGTCCCCTGTAGCGTCGGGATGACGGATCTGCTCTCGACGAGGTTCGAGTTGGGGTCGGCGTTGACGAGGTTCGCCGTGCGCCGCGCCCCAGGCTCCAGCGCCCTGATGCCCACGGCGCCCGCCAGCGTCGACACGGCGAACGCGCCGTCGCCGCCGGACGCCCAGCCCTCGGGACTCGCGAGGTCGTAGTTGCCAATGATGCGCGGCCGCGTGCCCTCGCCCGTCGCCTCGTCGTACAGCGGCAGCACCCTGCCGTGCGGCGCCGTCTCGTTGCGGATGGCAAAGGCGCCGTCCGCCGTCATGACCTCGCGGCCGGCCGTGATGTGGTGGATGCGCAGGTGCCAGTTGGGCGTCGCCGCCTCGGGCGGCACGAGAATCGTCTTGACCGTGACGTCGACAAACGGCTTCCACGAGGACACAAGCACGGGCTTGCCGTCACGCGTCTGGATGCCTGCGTAGTCCGACCGCCGCCGCGTCTTCCAGTACTCGCCGCCGTCGTCGGAGAAGCCGAGCTGCGACGCGAGCGCATACTGCTCGAGCGAGAAGAGGCCCGGCGGCACCGAGTAGCCATAGGCGCTGCTGTAGGCGAGGCAGCCGTACTTGGCGTGTGTGCCCTTCATCGGGTAGCTGCACGCCTGGCCCGACGAGAGGAGCATACAGTGGCCGCCAAGGTAGCTCATGATGTGACCCGGCTGCTCGAGGGGTTTGACTGTAGGGATCACACCCCACGCGTGCTCTTCCTCGGAGGTCCAGAACGGGTGGTCCTCGGGCACGGCGAGACAGATGAATGCCAGGCAGGCCCAGTACTGCATCGTTGTCAGCTTGCTGCGCTCTTGCTTCTCACAAAGGGGGCTGGCAGTCGGAAAACACGTACAGGGCTCCCCGGGCTGTTGTAGTTCTCGGCCATGTACATGTTGGGATACGAGTAGCCGATGGTCAGCGTGCCGCTGGGGCTCCAGATGCCGTGCTGCGTCTGCCACCAGCGCAGGTGCCGCATCACGATGCCCTTGACCATGCCCCAGGTCAGAGGGGCCGGCAGCTCGACACCGGCGTAGGCCAGCGCGCCCCAGAAGGAGACCATGGCGAAGCGGTAGCCGACGCTGCGGCCGAACGGGATGGACCGTCCCTCGCGGTCGTAGTAGTGCACAAGGTCGAGCGCGATCGTCTGCGCCCGCTTCTTGAACTCCTCGGCCCTCGCCGGCTCGTCGTCGCCCGCCAGCTTGGCGTACAGCAGCTGGAGGAACTGAATGGCGAAGCTCGACGAGTAGTAGTCCATCATGTGAATCCCCTCGGGCCCGTCGTTCGACCAGCCGCCGCCGCGGTAAAAGGTGTCGAGGTGCTCAATGTCGGCGTCGAGCCTCTCCTGCGAGAACTTGCCGCCATTCTTCTTGAGGCCGAGGTTCGCGAAGACGCGGAACCAGAGCCAATTGGTGTTGGGCATGCTGTCGAAAGGCGTCCATTAGCTTCTGGTTTGCGCTTCGAGCTGGCGAGACGTTGCTCACTTCTTCTCATTGATCGAGTTGCCCAGCCAATTCTCCACATTGCCGCGCTCCTTTTCTGTCAAGTCTTGCCAAAACACCGGCGCGACAGCCAAAGCGAAGCCTGCGCAGGAAGCACGTCAGCAGGCCCGCCTTGCAAACGTAGAAGCATCACAAAGGTGGGAACATCCAAAGTCCTACCGAGCGGGCACATCTCCACCATGCGCTGGTCATTGTCCCTCGGGTGGCCCCAATACTCGGGGTTCTCCGGGTCCGTCCCAGACTTGAGGCCCTCCACCCACCACGAGGTGCCGCGGTACTCGCCGCCGCCGGCCAGCAGACACGCGAGCCCCCACAGCGGGCGGCAGATGCCCTCGACCTCGGCGGCCGTCTGGTCGAAGCGCACGGCCGTGCCGCCGGGAACGCGGACGCGGGCCTTGTGCGGCGAGAAGAAGGGCTCGAGGGGGTCGAGCAGGGTGCGCAGCAGCTCCTGGACCGAGGCGCGGTCGGTGAGGTCGACGCGGGAAAAGGGGTGCGCGCCGTTGTAACCCAGGACGAGGCCCGTCTTGGGCTCCTGGAGTTCTGTCGTCATGTCGTGGCGACTAAGGCTGTGACTGACTGGCGAGAGAGAGAGAGAGAGAGAGAGAGAGAGTTGCTTCTTCCCTTAGACCGGAATTGGGAATTGTCACGATAAGAACGATGTTGGAATATCAGGGTAACCGGGAGAGGAAGCAAGCATGGCAGCCAGCTTCAGATAACAAATGCTCCGAGACCAGCTAGCTCTGCTTCATAGCTTCGAAGGGAGGCTCTTGGAGGACCACACTCGCCCCCATTGAACATGTCACCTCGCTCTCAATTAGTCCAGCAATCAAGGCCCCGGATGTTGGCTGTCGGCATGTTTTGTGGCGGGGTCATCCTGGTATAGCGTGTCATCGGTGGCATCTCCCCCGCCTCGAGCCTGTGATCTCCCACTGCCAAGAGGGGTTGGCTCGTCGGCTCTCTGGGCGGTTACGTGGGGGGGGGGAGGGGATCCCCCTTTCGTCCGCCCGAAGGAGCGAACTGTTTCGGCTAAATGGGATCTGATGATCTGCAGACTGCAGGTTGTATGTATGTAGGCTGTAGGCTAGAGGCTGGAGGGTGGTTATTGAATGGTGTCCAGAACCGACATTGGTGGGGGGAGCAGCGCCTCGATCCTATTCTGTGCCAGTGTGAGTTAGTCAGGTCAGCAGCATTGCCAAGTTGAGCCAGACGTGCACCAAAAAGGGGGTTTGGCTGTGAAGACAGGTGAAATGCTCTGTTCGCCGCCTCGGCTCATGAATCCCACGAAAGGACGCGGACCGGCTTCATCGCTTGAATATACGTAGATTTGAATAGGTGACAATTGAAGATGGAAGCTTACTCCCCCACCCGTCTTTCCGTCGTATCCCTCTTTCGCGATCCCCGTTTCCCCCCGTACACTTGCGGCCTGGCTTCGAATGCTCGGTTCACCCGCACACGGGCGCGAATAAACATTAGATAAGGTATGATGGTTGCGTAGATGAGCGCGTGTCCGTCGCATTCGTCGTCGTCGTGCTGCTGGTACTGCTGCTGCTGCTGCCATTGCTCACGTCTCTGCCGGGGTCTCTTCAATGGTTGGTGTCGGGGGTATATCCTCCTTGCTCGTCTCGGCCTGCGTCGCCGCGTCGCCGCCGTCGCTCGAGCTCACCGTGCTGGCCTTTTCCCGTCTCCTCCTCCTCATCTTCCTCTCTTCCTCTGCCGTCTGCCGCCTCGATCGGCGGATGCTCTCCCTCTTCTCAGGGTCGTCGTCGTCCGCTCCATCGCCACCGCGCATGCCCTGCAAGAGCAGCGCCGCGCGCGCCGCCACATCGTCCTCTCCGCCCTCCCGGGGCGAAGACAGCCCTGGGCTGACAACGCTTCCTTCTTCGTCGATGACGGCCTCCTTTGTCTGGAGCGCCGCCTCCACCTCGGGTATCTCGTTGAGGTCGGGGATCTTCTGGCCCGAGGCCACGCGGACCTGGTGCCGGTCCTTGAGACGCGCCTTGCGCCGTCGATCTCTCTGGTCGCGCGTCTGGGGTGCCGCTGCGCGCAGCTTCTCGAGCAGCGAGTCCATCGCGCCCGTGCTCGACGGGGACGGAGGCGCGCCCTCGACCGCGCCACCCGTCACCTTGAGCTGCGCATGCTTGCGTTTCATCGAGGCTTCGTTACGCCTTCGTGTCTCCTCGTACTGCATGTTCTTCTCGCGCGACCTCTTCCAGTCCGTGAGGAACGACGCCAGCTTCGAGAAGAAGTCTCGCCGCGCGTTGTCGTCCGTGGGGTCCTCGCCGTAAAAGGTCATAATGTCGTTGTACGACTTGGACATCTCCTCCAGGTAGAGCTCCATCTCTTCGGCCTTTCTGCGCGCATCCTTCATGTGCCTCTGGACCACCTGCCCCACGCGATCCTGGGGATGGAACTTCTTCGAGTCGCTGAGGTTGCCCGAGTCGAGCGACATCTGGACGTTGCGGACATTGTCCATGTATCGTTTGGCGTCGGACTGCAGCTGCTCAATGTTGATCTTCTGCACCGCCACAATATCACCAATGTCGGTGGCAAAGTTCTCCCACTCGGGGTACTGGTTACGCACGATGCGCTCGACCAGATCAGCGAGCGTCGACTCGTTCTTGTCGTCCTTGACCATACCCAGACGCGCCAGGGAGCTGAGCTTGAAACCGCGAGATTGCTTGTTGGCATCGTTCATGTAGTTGCCAATATCGAGAATGAGACCGAGAACGTTCATAAGAGACACCGAGTCTCGCAGCGATTCGGAGACGGCCATGACCTTGCGAATCTTGTCCGTGATCTCGTCGTAGTCCGTCTCGTAGCTCTTCGTCAAGGCCAGCGCGCGCATTCGGCTCTTCCAGTAGTGGTGCAACTCAAACGCAGTAAACAGGTAGATCTGGTCCTGCCGTGTGAGCTCCTCGGGGTCCTGCTCCCTGTTCTCCTTGTCGGACTCGGCACCGGTCCAGTCTTTGCTGTAGGGTGCCATAAGCTTGGCGGTATTGTCCGAGATGTTGCAGAGATCCTCCCTCTGTAGGAAATCCATGACCACGTTGTTATTGAGGATATCGTTATCGCAGTGTATAATCATCTGCACAATCTTTTCGACAGAGATCTGTGACAACTTGGCGAGTGCGATTTCTGACGCCTGTTAGCAACACCGTTTTTTTTGTCGACATGACAAGAGCGCAACACATACCAAACGCTTTGCGCAGATCAGCAGAGATGATCTGCTTCTTGTCATCCTTCTTCGCACCACCTTGGCCGAGTCTTTTCGTTTCCTTGGCCATGAAGAGCTTCTCGACCTCGTCCAAAATGCCCTTGCGACTGAGCTCGAGATACTTCTCCTCACGCTCCTCCGCAGACGGGGTATGAGCGGCCCAGTGCGTCGCCATTGGCGAATCGACCTTGTCCCAGTGGAGGGCCTTGAGCTTCTTCTTGGGCCGAACCACGGGCAGCCCGATCGAGGGTCCTGTGGAAAAGCTTGCCGTGTTCTGCGACAGGAAGTGTCCAGATATCGCGCCAGGCATTGGGGGCGGCGGCGGCGGAGGCATACCAGGCGCACCCGGCATTGGCGGAGGAGGGGGAGGCGGCGGCGGCGGTGGTGGCCCACCGCCAGGAGAGAGCATGCCGGGCATCGGGGGCGGAGGAGGAGGAGGAGGAGGAGGAGGTGGTGGAGGCGGAGGCGGAGGCGGAGGGGGTGCGCCACCTTGGCCGGGCATCGGGGGTGGAGGTGGCGGGGGCGGAGCGGCGCTGGTGACTTCGATCTTGGGCGTATCGGCACCTGCTGGTGTGACGAGCGGAGCGGACTCCGTCGTGGTACCTTCGCCATCCTCCGAGTCGCTGGCGTCGTATTTTTTGAATTTGTTGGCCATTTCGCCGTGAAGGGCGGCTTGCTGTTTGGCATCCACGACGGGCCTCCTGATCTCGACCATACGGGGCACCTCATAGACGACATCGTCGTCCTCGCCATCCTCGGCCAGATCGTCTTCACCGCCGCCAGTGCGAGGACCGACCGGCTTGCGGCTGATCTTGGTGTGGCGTTGGACGCTGCCCAGCATGCTGTTGGTAAAGTCCCTTGGCGGTGTGCCGGCGCCCTGAGGGCCACTGCCGTCGTCCATCTCTTCACGCAGTGCCCGCAGACGGTCAGACGGTCCCACGGCGTCCCCCCATACCCTGCCTTCGAGCTTGAATTGCGTCTTCTGGCGCTCAATCTGCATCTGCAGACGCTCCATGAGGCGTTCACGGTCGAGGATGCCCTGCATACGTGTCGGGTCCTCTGCTGGGATTTTACTGTTGCCCTTGGCGGCGTTGGATGCCGCGACATCCTGCGCATCTCTGAGCATAAGGTAAAGCTCTCGGGTCTCCAGCTCGTTGCGCTGTGCTTCTTTCTGACGCACAGTCTGGAGGTTCTCGAGTTCGGCCTTGAGCCCCTCCGCTTGTCGCCGTTGAGCATCGATGAACCTCTGCTGTTCCTCGAGCTGTTTTTGAAGCTTCGCCACGAGGCCGTCGGCGCCCAATTCGAGCTGAGCCTTCATCTCGTCGCGCTCGGCCATGGCGGCATCTGCGATCTGCCGCGCCTCCACAGATTCATCGAGAGCTTGTCGGGCCTCCGAGTCGGTGTGCAGTTTATCCAAAAGACTTTGGACGGTAAAGTTGAGGCTCTGCTTCAAGTCCATGTCCGGTAACCTGCGGTCCATCGCTACATAGCTCAACATGGAGTCCACGAGCTGGAACATGCGCAGGCGCTCCTCGCCATCCGTGTCGCGAATGAGCAACAGGTGCTGAAGCGCCGAGAGGAAGTAGTCTTGGGTCTTGCTGCCCTGAAGCCGCTGCTGGATGGCATCAACAATCTGGACGGGGTCGTTCAGGTCCTTGACCTCGGCATCGATGGAGTCCTTGATGCTGCTGTTGTCCCTCTCGAGCATATCCTCGTAGTCGATAGCTTCGTTGGTTCGGAAGCGCTCGAGTTGCTTATCGATGAGATCGTATTGGAACGACTCCATCTTGGTGAGGATCCTCTTGATGCCGCAAGCCAGAAACTGGGCTCTGATATGTATCCGCATTTCAAGCTCCCTTGGCGTATCGACAATCATGTTGATGAGAATCATCGTGGCCACGGCATATTCCATGAGCAGGTTCTCCATGCCAATGCCGCCGCTGCGGACTTCGTCGCTCGCACCAACCAAGCTGCCCATCTTGCCGCGGCCATCGACAGTGACCTCGACCAGGCGCATCCAGGCGTCGAATCGTCCATTCTCACCTGCCTGGCTCTTGACGGCATCCAATGCCTGGATGACTTTGAGATGGCCTTGCCCATCGGCCCAGTGACACAGGAATGTCAACACCTCGCTGACCAGCTTTCTTGTCATGAGTCGTGGGGAGATGAGTGATGTTGCAAGTGATATGACAACCTGCTGGTGAGCCAGGGCATCATCGGCGCCAAATTTGTTGTTCATCAAGGCCTTGAGACACTTGATGATTTCATATTCGCGATCCAGGTTTCGATCGGGACCCTTTTGGTCGGGAGCCGCCGGGCCCAGAGCCGTCTTCCGGTTGATCTTGAGCAAGACGTTTGTCATGGCCACCTGCCCCTGACACTCGATGAAGCGCTTGACCCATCCTATTTGTTGGGTTCTGAGGTTGACTTCGAGGCTCCCCAGTCCCTTCGTGTCCAAGCTGTTGTCCATCACGCGTCGGACGTACCATTCCGGGGAACCTTCCTCGTCGGAGGATACTAGGATATCTGGGGTCGCAAACTGTCCGGGGAACTGGTTTGGCCTTGCCGTCTGCCTCCTCTTCTGCTCGCCTTGCCATTCGGCAAGGCGGTCCTGGTGCAGCAGGGTCCATTTCTTGGAAGCCGGATATGCGACCATCTGGCGTTTGGCCTGCTCCGGGAGGTTATGCCATCCTCTCTTCTGCATCAGGGCGAGGAACATTTGATCGATGACATGGTCATCGTCCGGTTTAGGGAAGTAAAAGCTCTCGTGGCCGCCGCCGGTGGGAGGGGCGCTCATCATGCCGGGGAATTTCGTCAGACGGTGCGAGTCTCTGTAGTAGGACTGGTGCGGCGAGAAGGAGCTCTGTGACGAAGCACTCGGCAGTGCTAGTTTTGATGAGCGGGCTGCTGTCATTTCGTGGGTACCTCCATTACCTGAGAAGACGCTGGAATGATCAGCTGAATTGCGACCTGCAGAGGTCATGTAGGAATCGTATCTGGGATTGTGAGCGCCGTTCACCGTGCTCGCGACGCTACTGCGTGCAGGGCCTGGCCCCCACTGTTGCAACATGGTCTGGCGGCCGGTCGTGGCCATGGTGATGTTGGTCCCACCAGGACCGGCAGACGGCCGTGCCGCCGAAAGATGGGATCCGGCGACGGGCTGCATTGCGGAAGGGTCAATGTTGGGGTATTGGTGAAAGTCGCTTGTCGCCTTGTTCAGCTGGTGAGGTAGCAGTTCGCGGCGCACCGGGGCCTGGTCGGGCTTGGGTAGGTAGTCGACGGATATCGGGGATCGTGAATCGGCTGGAACGCTGTCGTAGGGTATGCTGGTCATGACACCAGCCATGGGACTGAGGCCGTCGTCTGAATACGCGCGATCAACGGAGACGATGGAGGAGTCGCGGTTGTGGCGAGACGACCGCGAGCCTAGGGTGCTGGGTGCGATGCTGGCCGTGTCGTAGTTGTCGCCCGAAGCGAGATGGCGACCTTCATCGCTTGTGAATCGTTTGTCTTTGTCCTTGTCCTTGTTCCTGTTTCTGGAGAAAAAGGACTTGCCGCCAGAAGACTGCCTCGACTTGTCGCTGGCCGACATGGTGGGCGGGCGGGCGAGAGGTGAAACACCTGGCCCTCTGTCGTGTGTCTGTCTACCTTGAGGTTGTACCCCTGGTAGGAGGATTCGATATTCTGGGTGCGGTTGAATGGGTACGTTCAAGCCTGGGCGGGCCGACTGGAAGGAGCGAGAAGGCAGGCCGAGGCCGGTCGCATGATGGGGGTCGGCCGAGCCGGTAGACAAGGAGAGTCGACGAGGAGGGAAGCGGCTTTGCGCGGGGGGAGGAGCAGGCACGAAGCGTGGGTTGGAATCCTAATCGCATAACAAGTCGTGTTTTAGCATGTGCTCTTCTTCAAGCCTGGTTCGCTGGAGAGGTTTGAGGTCGGAGATGGGACGTCCCGAGGGGGGGTTATCCTTGACTGCAACATACACTTCAAGTTCTCCCAGTGGTTGACGAGGCCGGGTCGGGTGTGTGTGTGTTTGTGTGGAAATGCGTAGTTGACTGGGTCGTGGTCTACGTCTCGGACTGGGTGAGTGCGAATCAGGTCAGGGATCGACAAGCGAGGGGAACAGTCAGCGGTGGGTTTTGGGTGGGCGAATCGATGGCGCGGTCGCGGGTCGTCGAGATTCGTTTGAGGCTCCGGAAGGGCGGCGCTGGGAACGGTAAGGTTCTCGATGATTCGTTGCAAAGGACGAATGGTTCTCGCGCCGGGTAGACCACCGGTGGGCGTTGGCTCAAATCCAGGCCCAGATGCGGTACCTGGTCAGACGGCAGTTGTTGGCTGACAGCGCGCACACACGAGGTCTGAAGAGGCCTGTCGGTGGAACGAAAGAGTGACTCGAGACTAGGCGGAGAAATCCATGTGTTGCTGAACGACGAAGAGGCGGTCGCTGGGACCCTGGCGGCATGAAACGAAGCCGAGTTGGTTTGACACGTTCAGGGGGAAGAACTGGGGATCCCATCTCGACAGTCAGGCATCGACTTTGGGCAGGCTGGGGTCGTAGTCCCCCGTACCTAGATGGGTTTTACGTTTCACCGCGCCCCATCCTAACTACCTACCTGCTTACCTGCCTATTATAGGTAGGTACCTTACCTAAGGTAGGTAAGTGCTCAAGGGAGACGCGGCCCAGAGCGTTGCTGCTTTTACCTTGGCCTGCGCCTAGAATGAGCGGCCCTGAACCCCCTGTTCACTGTCCACTGTGCACTCTCCGCCGAGTAAAGGACCTGGGCAAGACGTGCATTGCTCTGTTCTGGTGCTGGTGTCTATAGCGTACCACCTGCAATGAGTCTCCAACTCTTTTCTCTCCTGCCACATCAGAAACAACAACATAAATCCTCAATTTGACACCGGAATTCACTGCTTTTTTGTCCAGCAGGAGGCAACCGAGGCGTGGAAGCGTATGGCACGGCGTCTAGATGCCGCGGCGCATCGGTTCTTGCGCCAGACCTCGTCTACAATGCGTACATATGCCTGATGGCGTTCTCGCATAACGTACATGTGAATCTGACTTGACGAGGATGGCCTCGGTTGAATGTAAGGCCATGTGTGGTGGCATTCTCGGTGCACTGCTCAGTCATTGGAGTATAAGATAGAAGTTCATGAGGCGCACTTTAACTTCTCTTGGCTAAACCGTCCTTATAGCTGTAGACAGCCTCAGAAGGAGGTAAGAACCCTGGTAGCTAGGAGGAATATAAGAAGCTCCTTCCTCCCTCCCACCTCTCCTCTACTCCTCTATCACGGAATCACTGAATCGCTGAATCACTGAACCACTCTATTCCTCTATCCCTCCCGTCCATCCTCTCTACCTCTTTTCTCCAATCCCTCCCATCCACGCCACAGAACCCAGTACACAATGCCGACCGAGCAAATTCGCATCCAAGGGGATGCCGCAGCGTTGTGCGATCGCATCCGGCTGTTCCAGGAGATGTGCACAAACCAGATGGACGGTTTCCGGCCCGAGGACCTCGCCTGTGTCGCGCTCAGCGCCTGTGCATCTCGTCAGCGCAGACCACAGAGTGCAGAAGGCTTTGACTACATGGATATGGAAACGGATCAGGAGAAGAACGACAGGCGGCGCATCATTCACAAGCTCTACAACCGCCTCCTCGTGGAGTATAATCAGGAGCAAAAGGTCAGCGACAAACAAGTCTTCAACGCCACCAGTGCCCTGTCCTGGGCACTCTTGCAAGTCACAAACATCGACGAAATGCGCAAGCTGGAGCAGACTCTCGACTCGGCGGAAAATGTTCCAGAGTATTTTCAGAACATCAAGGTCATACTGGAGGGATTGGACTTTCAATTCAAGATATGTAAGTTGCCAGTTTCCAGAAGAAAAGAACAGATCTAACACGTGCGCATAGTCCTGACGCAGCCCTTGTCGGACAACCAGAAGCGTCTTGGTGAAGGAGAGCCACCAGCGTTGAGGAGACCCAGGTCCAACAAAGTGAAGGAAACCGTAAGTGATGAAGACCCGTTTCCCGATAGAATGTACCAAGGCACTGAGAATATCCAATAGTGCATTGCTCGCGACGAGACCTGTGTTTTGACCGGGAATGAAGAGCCTCATGTGGTGCACATTTACCCCTTCAGTGCCGCAAACGCCCGGCGAACTAGGTCAACCCTCAAGGACACTCTAGCTCGGCTGTGGGGCGCGGACAGGGAAAAGGCCATCTCTGAGAAGCTCTTCCCAAACGGCACAACTGAGGGCATCGACGTCATTGGCAATGTTATATGCCTCTCGCCGGACATGCATGCCGCCTGGTCTCGGTACGATTTCGCTCTGTTCCCCATGCGCCCAAAGGAGGAAAAGGCGGAGGGTACATGGAGTATACAGGTCGTTTTCTACTGGTTGAAGCGCTGTCTGATGACCAAAACATCAGCAATGGGCAGCAATATATGCGCATCCGCTCGGGAGATCCTGCTCACGACTGCCATTGGAATAGTAAAACAGCGGCCCCGAGCTTTCGACCTGCGTACGGGCGCGCCCATCCTTGATGGGCAGATTTTCACCATCAAAGCAGCGATGAAAGATCATTTGCCTGACTACGACATCCTCATGCTCCAGTGGGACATTGCGCGCGTGGCATCGCTGTGTGGAGCTGCTGAGTCGGGCGACGACTACGATAAAGACGCCTATGATGCAGACGCCTATGATGCAGACGCCTATGATGCAGACGCCTATGATGTAGACGCCTATGATACAGACGATGATAAAGAACATGTTGAGGCCGAGATGGAAATGACTAATGAGTGAAGAAACGACATGTGTTCAGGCAGCAGGACAAGAACATCAGCATCACCCGACCTATTCATAGTGTTCCTAATACTATTATGGGAAGCCCTATGAAGAGGCTCTGTGTTAGGCATAGTTGGAGGCTTCAACATGCATAGCAGTCGTTGAAGTATGTTTAGCTATTCTAACTGTAACACTATGTCTCTGATGCGTCTAATGTTGTTGCATAACTCCTCACCTCACTAACAGATCACACCAGATCCAGGGGCCCTATCCAATCAGCAGCGCCTAATCCAGTGACAATCGCTAGGCCCGCGCCTTCCGCATCCCTGGTCGGGCCCCATGCGGCATGATGCCCTTTCAGCTCTAGATCATCCATCATCCCAAGGCACCAAGGACTATCTCATCGCTCGGCCTGCCCTCTCGAACTGTTGCTCATCGTCACGACGCCTGCCAACGCAAGTCTACACCTCCACCACAAGCCTCCCCGCAGGAAAACCTACCTAGGTCCTGGCCCAGCATGGGCAGCGTGGCTGTTTTCAAGGTAAGCAGCATTGTTTCCATCATCATCATCATCCGCACCAGCAGGCAGAACGAGGCATCCCCGCTGACAGATCATCACCAGGTCCTTATTGTTCCGGCCGTCATCTCCCTGATCCTCTTCCTCACGTTGACCTTCGTCCTCGCTCCCCTCTGGCGCAAGACTCGCGAGCGCTACGGCCAATACGTTCCCGTGCACGCGATACAGAGCAGCACCCTCTCCTTCGGCCAAAGTGTTCGCAGTGGCGTCTCCGGCCTCATGGAACGATCAATATGGCGCCGAAACGCGTCCCAGGGCGTGGCCATCGGCAGCGATCACTCCGACGATGGCTTTGCATCCGATGACGGCGAGGAGCTCGGTCAAGTCAACCAGAACACGCGGCAGGCTATTGCCGAGGATGCGCGACGCAGCAGCCCAGAGAGCACGAGGAGGTTGAGTAGGGAGTATATTGCGCCCTCCCCAGTTTTGCATCACGCGTGTGCTAATACCAACGCCTACAGTTTGGAAGAAGGATTCAGGGATGACAGCGACGACGAGGACAATGGGCGTCGAGCCAGATAGCGAAGCAGAAAGAAATGCGACGAGCAGATTCACGACCCCCAACCTTGATTTCCCCTTGACCCTGCATGACGCCTCAAGTGCCTTCCAGCAGGATGCGCTGTCGGTCATGGCGCCATTCCCCCTTCACTGGAGAGCTTGAAAAAGCTTAAAGGGGGGGAGGGGGGAGGGCCCACGTTGTAAAGAGCCTGGTAACAGCAGCAGAGGAATGCTGGCGGGTTTCGCTCCACTGAAGTGTGTCCCGGAATCGGAATGTTTCACTCACGAGGCGGGCAGCGCTGTTGGGCTCAAGGCGGCGCCCTGGCCAGACATGCTCTACGCGAAGCTTGCAGAACCTCCCCAGGTCCCACGCTCAAGTGAGACATGACCTCTCCCGCACCGGATGCGGCTCATGCTAGCGGCACCAAGGACGATCCCGCGCGCGGCGAAGTCGCGACTCTACAACGCGGAGCACTCAATCACGAACACCACCGTTTTGGTGTTTCCCCCTTCCGCTTCGAAGCATGGGGGAAGTCCGGTTGTGCACATTTTTGTTCCCGCTCTTCTTGCTGCAGAAGTCTTCCAGCATGATAGTTCAGCCGAAAGCAGGTCGTCGTAAACATCTCCGTAGGCCCAACGGGCCCTCCCACCCCTCAAAAGCAGAGCAGACGCCTCTTTTCGGTAGTTGAGTTCGCAGATCATGTTCTTTTCTCTCTACCTCGACATTCACTCGTTCAGTCGAAGCCTGCGGCATCGCCGTCACTCGTTGCCGTCTTTCGTTCAGATCCCTCGCTAAAGTCATCCTACCGACGAATCACCCCCTCCGTACCCCCTTTTTAGCCCCAGCCGGCACCACATACTACATCACGGAGAGACAAGAGATCGACAGGAGAAAAACAACGTTCTCGCCACCATGCAGTCTGTGTCTCCTCAGTTCGAGACGGCCTGGGTCCTGCCACCCCCGCCCCCTTCGTCCTCCCACGCCAGCACGGAAACAACAGACGCCGACTGCTCGATATGCTACGAGCAGGTCGGCCGCGTCAAGCCCGAGGGCACCATTGAGTCGTGGCTGCACTTCCCCTGCGGTCACCGCTTCGGCAGCCTGTGCCTCCTCAACTGGCTCTTCGCCGACACCGTCACCAAGTTCGACTGCCCCATGTGCCGCCGCCTGCTGCACTGGGAATGCGGCCACCTCGCCGTGCCGAGCCCCGCGCCCTTCAGCAGGAAGGAGGTCGCCTGGTACGCCGCCGAGCCGCGGCGGCCGCTGCCCGGGCCCTGCGAGTTCTGCCAGGAGTGGTACAAGGCCGGGTTCCGGGAGCGCATGGAGCGCCGGAGCAAAAAGGTCATGCGACTACTTCGGGACCGCAAGGCGTCGGTCCTGCAGGCCATACTCGTCAGAGCACGCGTCGAGAGGGACTATCGTGATGATGTGTGGAGACACTGGTACACCGAGAGGCTGGACGAGGCTCTCATGGATGGAGACGTCTTGTGGCCTCCAAAGAGGGGACCAGCGAGGCGCAAGTGAGGGATCGTATCATCGTCGGTGGGCCATCATATACATTGGCCGTTTTCTTTTGTGCAGCATCATTTTTAGAGCTATTGCGGCTAATATTTAGACACTAATATGGTAATACTGATATAGAGCTGGGAGCTGTCGTTCGCCACAAGACAGATGGGAGTTGGAAGCAGAATTCAGAGGTAGACAGACGCAGCTGATGGCATCTGAAAAGGGGTGCTGTGGCAGAAACATGGGAGAGGATGCATTGTAGTTACGAGAGTAGCTTCAACGATAATACAGGTGGCGTAGCGTCGTGATGACACTAGCACGGTGTTTATAAGAATGGTATGGGCGTCAGGTCATACTGATAGTTATCATGAGTAACAGGGTGTGCACCCCTTTCTTTGTGGTGATGTCACTGAACGCTGATGATATGGTTTGTGCCAGAGCAGCCACCACGCAGACATATCTGCTCGTTGTCCACTTATATCACTGGGAAATCTATCTTTGCATTCACTCCAGGCACTCATCCATCAATGTGAATTTGAAAGTGCCGCTCAGCAATGTGAGGGTATAGCGAGTTGTCCACGGGAGCTCAATCACAGATGCTGGATTCACACTCGCCCTAGAGGGGTCGCACTCGGGAGGGCCTATATCGGACGTTTGGGTAGGAATATGGAAAGATGGGAATCAATAAAAAAAACGACAACGAGATTGAGGCTATGGGGCTCACCACCGTCAACGAGACCGAAGGGTAGATTGTGCGATGGGCTGCAGAAGACGAGAGGGGGTTAGACAGAAATGCCATCTGGGGTAGAAGATGTTGCTGAGTGTGTCAGGGGGGGCTCAGAAGAGTCAGGTCAGTGTGCACTTAGTGGATGTTCCAGCGCTCTCCCCTATAATTCAGCCCCGCACTCACTAAGATACCCACCGTCTTCTATCGGCCATGCTGCCTCGCGCCTCAACCCTCTTGCTCGCTATTCACGATACCTCATTCACCCTCTCGAGTTATCATCGTGACCGCGCCTTGCCAACGCATCTCACCGGCCACGGCGTCTACGAGTCTTCACCATGCGATTCAAGACGGAGCTCAAAAATATCCGCACCTTTTCGAGTATGTTTGCTTCCCGCTTCCGATCACAACCAAACTAACCTCTCAGAACTGACTGCCGCCCTCAACTCCCTCGAGAAGATCGCATGGGTGCGCCTCGACGATGACACGGCACGCTTCACCGTCATCCCGGATACGGGGTCTCAAGTCTGGGCGTGAGCATACGAAAAAAATGTTTCCAATGGATGACTGCAGGCAGCTGACAGTCGACAGCTCCCTCTCCATGGACTTCATGTTTGAGAACTACCACATCCAGTCTGCCGAAGCCAACAACACGATCAACCTAGAGTTGCCCCTGCAGCCCCTCCAACGGGCCCTCAAGTCCGCTTTGAACAGCACATCCGCCTCTCTTCGCCTCACCAAGAAAGAAGGTGTCCCCGTTCTTTCCATGACCATCACGACGACGACGGACGCCTCAGCCCCCTCAGCGGCCGCCGCCCACCGCGCCGCCTCTCTTGACGATGATCCCTTTGATGACGACCTGCCGCAAGAGCACCTCGAGACGTCGCTGCGCCGCGAGCGCGAGAAAATCATCACGCAGGACATACCCGTCCGCGTGCTCCATCCGGAAACCGTCGAGACGATCATGCAGCCCAAGGTCCGCGAGCCAGACGTCCACATCCAGCTGCCGCCGCTGCTCCAGCTCAAGGCCATCTCCGACCGCTTCACCAAGCTCGCCCTCGCGTCGGGCCCCGCCGCGTCGCGCGCCGGCGGGCCCAAGCTCGAGCTCAGCGCCAACATGCACGGCGCCCTGCGCCTGCGCATCGCCTCCGAGGCCGTCGACATTTCGAGCACCTGGACCGGGCTCGAGAACCCGCAGCTCGACCCGGCCCAGATCCAGGGCCCCATCGAGGAGCACCCGAGCGCGCGGTTCCGGGAGGCGGGGCCCGACAAGTGGGCGACGGTGCGCGTCGACGGTAAAGACTGGAGTAGGGTGCTCAGTGTTGGGCGGCTCGAGGGGCGCGTCATTGCGTGTTTTGCCGATGATCACGCGCTCATTCTCTATGTGTACGTGCCGCAGTATGACGACTCGGGGGCGGATGATTCTGTTGTCACGGTATGTGCTCCCCTTTCTTAGCTGAAGTGCCAATTCCAAGCTGACTTGAAGCAGTATTATGTCACTTCCTACAGTTTGTAGGCACGTCACGGTCACTTTAGAGCGGGCGTTTGGTTTGTCATGAGAAAGGTCAAAAAGAGGGAATGGGATGGCGTTGGGTGGGTGCCCGAGGCCTGGGTATATTGAATCTTGCTTCTTCATCTTGTTTCCTGTGGGAATCGAGCCAGCATTTAGGTGGTGAATTGCTTTACGTGACGATCATTCGAAAAGACCTTCTTACTGATCCCGCGCTTTCGAGTTTTGTTGATGCTCTCTTGGTCGTTGCCGGTGGTGCTCGCGACTCCTGCTCCTGCTCCTCTTGTGGTCTCGCCTCTCCCGCTGCCTGTCTCGGCCGCCGTCGCGGCTGCGGCTGCGGCTGCGGTCTCTGTCTCGTCTGTGTCGCCGAGAAGAATCCTCATCTCGATCGCCGTCACGGTGTCGCCGCCTTTCGCGATCAGGGCTGCGGCTCCTCCGCCTCTCATCCGTCCGTCGTGGCCTCTCGTGCCGCCTCTCGTCATCCCTGTGTCTGTGACGCCCGTCGCGTTCCCGATCGCGGCTCCGACTGCGATGTCTCCGCCTTTCCCTCCTCTCATCGTGGTCCCTGTGCCTCCTCTCGCGCCCCTCCCTGCGATCCTCCTTCACCTGCAGGCCCGCCTTCACAGGCGCAGCCTCCTCAGGCGGCCCCGCGGCACCAATCCTCCGCGACGGGCCGACCTCGACGGCGTTGGCGCCGCTGGTGTCCCGCTGGGCGACGGGCAGGCCCAGGGCGCGGGCGAGGGCATCCTCCTCGGCCTCCTTGATCTTGCGCAGCTCCTCCCTGCGCAGGCGCTCGCTCTTCTCCTGGTCCGTCTCGGCGGGGTCGGCGTTGGGGTCGTTGTCGTCGTCGGCCTTGGCGTACCAGTTGAGGTCGCGGCCCTTTTGCCAGCGGCCGACGGGGGCCTTGAGGCTGTGGCCGAGGTAGTTCTCGCGGTGGGTAGATGTCGAGACGTCGTCCCAGCTGAAGTTGACGCCGCCGCGGGAGCCGGATTTGCGGACTGTCGAGAGGAGATCCATGGTGGCCGCGGTTGCTCGACTCAGGGCGTAATGGACGGTGGTGTGGGGGTGGTGGTGGTGATGGTGATGATGGGAGGAGGTTTCGTTGGCGACGGAGAGCCGAGGCGGCATGGAAGAGTGGTGGTGCACAGACCAGTACAAGGCTCGCCGGCGACCTGCCGCTAGTGCAACCTTAACCGCATCCTCCTGCTGCACTGTCCGTCTTCGAACATCGCCAACTGCATCCCCCCGCTCACACCCTCGAACTCGGCCTCAATCCCGCCTGTCAATTGGCATTCATCCGATTTTCTCTGCACCGAGGATCTGCTCGCAGCTACCCAGACGACAAACGAAACATCGCCATGGCCACTGCCAAAGACCCGCCTCTCGACGAGGTGCAATGGCGCGCGCCGCCCATCGCCCACCACCTCCAGGGCATCCACTCCAACTCAGTCCTCTTCTACTTTGCCGAGTCGCCCTTTTTCGACCAATCCTCTAACAATGGCATCTACGTCCATCAGGCTGCCTTCAATCCGCAGATGCAGGCCAAGATGTTCACCCGTGAGCAGTTCGAAGCCGTCTTGAGCCAGATGCCCAACGGCGTTGAGTTTCGCGTTGCCCACGCGCCCGCCGACATGGTGACCGGCACTGGCGTCTGGGTCATCGTCAAGCAAGAGCGTGAGAGGGGCAAGGGTGTCACGCCGATAGCTCACTACTTCCTTGTCGGCGAGAATATTTACCAAGCGCCCACCTTTGGAGATATCATGAACTCAAAGATTGTACGACTCCCTCGAGGAAACCGAAGCCCCTAAGTACTGACCTCTGCCTTTCCAGGAATCCATCTCAGAGTCCCTGAGCAAGATTCTGCCCGCCGTCGATAGCGTCCGCGACTGGACACCGTCACTCGGCAACGCCTACACACAGCCAGCGCCCACCGACCTGGCACGCACGCAACCAGGAGCTCCTTCGAAAGAGGGCACGCCGGCGCCAGAGACCGCCGCACCCACGACCAAGACCACTTCGCCCTTTGCCAACAAGACGACAAAGAGCGCCCTTGACCGCCTCGCCGAGGAGTCCTTCGCCATCCACCTGCGCCACGGCGGCGACTACATCGACCAGAACCCCATCACCGGTCGCCCCGGCGAGTTCCACCTCTCATCAACCGGTCGCAAGGAGAAGGCGGCGCCTCTGCAGCCCCCGGCGCCGACGGCCACACCACAGCCGCCCGCCAAACCTTCGGTTTTGAACACGAAGCTAGCCGACGAGGTCAAGAAGGAGGGCAAGGCTGAGCGCAGCCCCAAGACGCCCGGTGTACCAAAGCCGAAGAGGAAGAAGAGCAAGATTGTGTCAGGTGGCGCTAGCGGCGGTACCAACACGGCGGCGACGACACCGGCGGCTTCTTGAGAGTGAACGGACGGTTGGTTCTAGATATGGTCGTGACTTTTTGCTTTCGATGATACCCCCGTCTTTGTATCATACATTACTATCAGTATGTACATATGACAAGCACATGTTTACTCAAGCCAGTCAATGACTGCAACGGTCCTCCGCTGCTGCAGCCTGCATCTGGACATAGCACAGATGACGACTCCCATACGTACTGCGCCTATACTCGGATGAGGGGCAGTGCTCGTGACATTGATCTCTCTTGTCAGCGCCTGACAGGCTGGTTGGTCGGTCCGCGCCCATGCATTGGCTCCCTCTACACGATCAGGCTGCGGCCTATAAATACGGCTGTGTGTCTCCCAGTTGCTGCCTGACTGAAACAAACATTTTCCTACTTTCTACCGCTCGCAGCCTTGCGCAAAAAGATATCTGTCATCCCCAGTTTGTGGCATTATGGACCCCGTGTCGGCCGCCGGGTTCGCCTCCTCTCTGATCACCTTCATCGACTTCTCCTACAAGTTGATACACGGCTCTGTCGACCTCTACAAGTCAGCTGCTGGGGCCACGGATGACAACGTCCGGATCAGCAGCATTGTCGAGGATCTGAGGAAGATCACCGAGACGATCTCAACGCCCGCTCCCCCTGAGGATGATGGACCGCACTCGCGGGAGCTTAACAAACTGGCCCTTGAGTGCCAAGATGTCTCCAAGGAACTTGCAGACATACTCGAGACGTTGAAGAGGCGAGAAGGGAATAAAGCATGGCGCAGCCTCGAAGCGGCATGGAAGAGCATGCGCAAGTCGGATAAAGTGGCAGCGCTTGTAAACCAATTGGCCACATATCGCATGCAGCTCCTTCTGCGCCTCGGTCTCATCCTCAAGTGAGACAGTCCGCTCCCGCTTGACCGCTCACCACGTTTGCTGACAGACTTATTAGTGACAATCAGATCTCAGTAGAGAAGCAGCTGAGCGAATTGCAGAAAGGGAACACAGATCACTTTGCTCAGACGATCACCCAGCTCGACAATGTTCGTCAGGCGATCGAGAACCTGGAAAAAAAGGTCATGGGCGAGGCTGGCCATGCACTTCATCCGTCGCCTGACATGAACTCCTCCCACGGTGCTTTGCATGAACTCTGCACCGAACTCTCTTTGATCGTCCAGAATCTCCGCGCCGTTGCTGCGAGGGCGCCGGCGGACTTGCATGTGCTGAACCGGCTGTATTTCGAGAGCCTGCATGCTCGCGAAGACGATGTCAGTGACGCAGAATTCAATACCTTTGCCTGGCTTCTCCATGAGGAAGGGGGTGATGAAGAAAGCGGCGCGGAGAGCGACGAAGAGAGGGGCGAGGAGAGCGACGAAGAGAGTATCGACTCGTATTACAGCAGTAAAACTGAAGCATCTACCGGTGGGAGCAATCATGACACTGGAGACGATACCGACAGCCCGACTCACACCGCTGTGGCAAACGACGAAGCCGTCATCGACGATGACGATATCGAGGACCCCGATCACGGCGAAGACACGGCTGGCAGTGAATACAACGAAGATGACAATGGCAGTGCCAGCATCGGCTCTTCCATTAGTGATATTCAGACGTCATACCTCGAGGTTAGACGAAGCCTTCGGGAAAAATTCAAGGCATGGCTCCGGCTAGAAAATGGAGTCTTCCACATATCGGGCAAAGCTGGCTCAGGCAAATCAACCTTGATGAAGCGTACCTGTCAGGACCAGGCTTTGATGGACGGCCTCAACGTTTGGGCTGCCGATAGGAAGCTCGTCTTTGGCCGTTTCTTCTTCTGGCGCTCTGGACATGACTCGCATTGCTCCCTCGAGGGGTTGTATCAGTCGCTGCTCTTTGAAGCTTTACAACAATGTCCAGAGCTTACGAGGACCGCGTTTCCGCAATTTTGGACAGTGGCCAATGAAGCAAACTTCCAAATATCTGCGTGGGCGCAATCGCCTTTTCGACTTTCGGAACTGTGTCAAGCATTGTATAATTTAATTGAAGAACAATCTAGAGCAAAGACCCATCGTTTCTGCTTCTTCATCGACGGCCTGGACGAGTTTAAGGGCGACAGTTCTGACCACAAGGAGTTGGCGCGGCAACTCCGAGCGTGGGGCAATTCACCTGATGTCAAAATTTGTGTGAGTAGTCGACCCTACCAGGCGTTCCTCGACGTATTCGACAGCAAGATGAGAATCAACATTGTCGACGCAACGAAGCTCGACATTTACCGCGTCGTCAAAGGGACGCTCGCTGAGCAGCCAGCCGATTATCTAAGCCCGCACATCTTGCATGAACTTGCAATACAAATTTGGCACCGCGCCGATGGTGTGTTCCTGTGGGCACGGTTGGTTGTCCGTTCAGTAACGGAAGGCACCCTGTATCGCTCAAGCCACAGAGCGCTCATGGAAAAAGTTGAACAGACGCCAAAAGGTCTCAGTGCACTTTTCGGACAGATGTCCGACAGCATTGATTCATCTGACCGGGAGAGGTCAGACAGGATGCTCTTGTTCGCCAGCAGACAAGGTCGCGGGCACTTTCTGCTGTACTCGTGGCTTGATGATCTGGCGGATCCCAAGTTTCCATTTGAGCAGCCGGTTTGTGAGCTGCCAATGGAAGAATATCTTGAGCGCAGGTCTACCGTTGCTGCTCAGCTGAAGCTTCTGAGCAAGGGCCTGCTCGAGATTTCAGAAGGCAGTGACGACATTGATTTCTTCCATCGATCGGTTTTGGATTTACTTCGGCAACCAGATATCGAGTCTGCAATGAAACACCATCTTCAGGATCGCTTCGACATAGCAGCCGATGGGCAGCGACTCCAACTTGCCCTCATAAAGTTTCATGTCCGTGCCTTATGCCACAGGCGAGGTCGCTTTTTCGCAGAGCATCTTGGTGAGTTGTTCAGGTCTGAAAAGAAGTGGGGCGCGCCTTCTACCAAGGTGTTGAGAGAGTGCCACGCCATCATTCATCACTTCCAACGAAAGGACGACATTCCTAGTATCTTTTCCATGGGCTGCGTCATCCCACATTATCGTGATTCTTGTTTTCAGATGGGACCAGGTTCAGAATTCTCATTTCTACATTTTCTTGCATTTTATGCCGAATCGCAGTACGTCCTAGACTGGGTCGAGAAAAGCCCCAGCGGCCAACTGGGAAGAGAGGATTTATGTCTGCTATTCTCCGCCTGTGTCGGTCTTGACAGCCAAGAAACCTTCGTCAAACGTCTTTCCTTCATCGAACGTCTTTTAGGAGCCGGCGTTTCCTTCGCTGGCGGCGTGCATATCAAGGCTCATCATGGTGGTTCAGTTGCCAACGTCCCAGGTTGGATGGCGTTCCTCGCCGTTCTTGTCATTGAATGTATGTGGGCGCTCCTGCGTGATGAAATAACGACGCCTTCGTCATTGTTTCTTGTGCTGGAGAAAGTCCTGTGCATGCAGCCCGAGCTCAACGTTCAATTCGAACACGAGCTATACATCACGAAACGTATGTACCCAGATCTAGATGATCCATGCCTAGGTCGAGCATCAATGTCACTGGAAGAGCTCATCATTATGTCTAAGCCTCCCAATATGGACGTGCTCTTGCGCGAGATTCTTCGGCAAAATACGTGGAGTGTCCGGGGCATCGCAAAGAAATTGGGCTCATGGGTGGCTCCGTCGACAGACTTCAAATCAGAATACGCGGTTTGGATCGAGGGCATGACGCAGTCTGAATTGAAAGACTGCCGCTTTGTTCTCGCGAGGATATCAGTAGGTGCTGGATCTTCATGGGATCTCAATACGGACAAAAAGCTGTGGTTTCGGGTCTTCTGAGAGGATTCCCGTCAAGATTTCCAGCACAAGGTACATGTACCAATTTCAGATGCCAAGAAATAATCAGTCTGAGCAAACACACTTCCATAAGCAAGTCACTTGGTCCTCCTTGACGAAGGAGATGGCGACTGGCCGCTCAGTGTCTGGAACGGCTGAATTGGTGACGAAGTCAACCTGGAGCTATACCCAGCATCCGTGACAAAGCCCGTGTCTGGCTAAAGTGATATAATCTCGACTTGGGTGAGATGAGGCGTTGTTGAGTGGGTTGAGGCAACATTCCGACTTATAACACTCTATGTCTATGGAACTCGATGAACGGATTCTCGAACGCCGTAAAATCTGAGGAATCCCGAAGGATGATACATACACTAGGTCTGTCTTGCAGAAGATACCTCTTTTGTCGGTTATCGGAAGCGAGCCCATCCACTGTCATTCATAAGAAGGGACAACGACATGACGTTGTTTCCACAGCTCAATACTGCTAGACGGCTCCCCTTCATTCCATGATGATCATATCCCACACGATTATGAAGAAGGCAGTTATTGGAGACTCCAGATAGTACCAAATTTGTAGACATAATTCGCCAGTAACAGCCCGCTTAGATGACGGAAACGTACCCAACCCAGCCTCAACGCAACCATATACATCACCGCCCTACTGCACCACCCAGCCCTTGCCAACCTCCCTCTTCTCAATCACCTTCTTCATCGGCAGAGGCCAGCCGCTGCCCCCGACGCCCTCGGCCCTGAGGTATGGCACGACCCAAACCTCCCTCTCGGTGGCCGTGGCCCTGACCTCCTTGACCGGCTTGCCGTACGTCAGCAGCGGCGTGCCCTTGGCCAGCCCGGCGAGCTGGCCGCCCGTCACGTCCGTGAGCGCGTGCATCCTCGTCTTGGGCGTCTTGGTCGGGTCGACCCCCTGCGTCGCGCGCTGCAGATACGCGTAGACGACGTACTCAGGCAGTTCCTGGGGGCTCATATGCGCTAGGGGCGACGAAGGGTGGAGGTAGACAAACTTGTCAACGTCGGCGCCGACGCCGAGCGGCACGAGCGGCAGGTACGGCACGTCGATGGCGCGGCGGGGCTTGCGCGCGTTCTCTGGCGGCGTGGGCGATTTGTCGGCGCGGATGGCCACCTGGTCGATGAAGCCGGCAGCCACCATCTGCTTGAGATAGGCGACCTGCCTGTCCGTGGGGCGGTCGAGGCGGTCCTGGAACCGCAGGTTCTGGAACGACGGCACGTTGGTGCGCAGCAGCTCGACAATCTGCTGGCGCAGCTGCTGGATCTCCTTGAGCACCTTGTACCGCACAAAGTGGCTCTCGCACCACGCCTCGGTCGGCTCGTGCGCGTACTCGCCGACGACCTGCAGCAGCTTGATGGCGTCCGACTTGTCGTCGAGCGAGCAAAAGTTTCGCTGCACGCCGTTGAACGCGCGCCGGATCGTGGCCTGGCGGTCCTCGGCCGCGACGACGGCGTTGGTGCGCAGCGCGTGGTCTTCTGTTGCCTCGAGTGAGGGGATCGCCTGGTTCTCGGGGATGAAGACCTCGGCCGCCGACAGCGCTGCCACAAGCGCGATGGTGTACTGGAGACAGTCGTGCTGGTGGCCGACGAGGAGGATGCGAGCGAAGCGCGGCGACAGCGGAAAGATGGACATGGTCGAGCCGATGCGCGTCACCTGGCCTTCGGTCGAGATGGCTGACAGGTAGTGGAGGAGCCTTTCTGCATTGCGGAGGCTTGCTCGGTCAGGGGGTGTCGGGAAGGGAAAGTTGACTACGTTGGAGAGGTTCATGGACTTGAGCTGCAACACGACGCCATCAATGGGCATGCGCAAGAGCTCAGGCTCAGAGAACTGAGGCAAATCCCTCTCATACACTGCCGACGAGTACAGGCGGTAGCAGTGACCGGGCCCCGTACGACCAGCGCGACCAGATCGCTGGTTTGCGCTGGCTTTGCTGACCCATCCGATGGCGTACGTCTGGACACCGCTGACCTCGTCGTATTGGCGTTCCTTGGAGCGGCCACAATCGAAGACGTACCTCGTTCCGGGGATCGTAAGACTCGTCTCGGCAACGTTGGTTGCGAGAATGACCTGTCGCGTGCCCTCTGGCGGCTCCTTGAAGACACGCATCTGTTCGCGCGTTGGCAGGAGAGAGTAGAGTGGCAGCACCTGCATCTTCAAGGGGCCCGTCTCACCCTCTTCCTCAATTTTGAACTCTTCGTCTTCGTCCTCGTCGCCCTCGCCGTCTGAAATCTCATCGTCAATCTCTCCAGCGTCAAAGTCGTCAACGTCACCAAATTCAATATCCTCAACCTCCATCGGCGCCTCGCTCGCGGAGATCTGCACCTTGGGGCCGCTCGCCGAGGTCAGACCACCAAAAGCTGCCTCCAACCTCTTGCTCAGCTGCACGATCTCATTCTGGCCCGTCAGAAACACGAGGAAACCTCCAGGAGGTAGCTTCTTGTGACCCCGGCTGATCTTGTTGTACAGTTCATCAACGTAGTCTGGTCGTGTCCTGCGGGCGAAGTGGATTGTGACAGGGTGCTGTCTACCCTCGACCTCGACGACCGGCGGCGGCGTTGCGAATAGCTGGGAGTTTTGCGTCATATCCTCGACCCTGAGGGTAGCCGACATGATGATGATCTTGAGAGGCTTCAGTGGCGATGAACCATTCTGGTCCTCCTGGCGGACGTTGTTGATGCGGCTGAGCATGCCAATCAGGATGTCCGTGTTGACGCTCCTTTCGTGCGCCTCATCGATGATGATGGCCGAGTACTTCTTCAACGAGAAATCCTGCGCAATCTCTCGGAGCAACACACCATCCGTCATGAATTTGATGGCCGTCTTGGCGCTCGTCGTGCCCTCGAAGCGAATCTGGTAGGCGACACGCTCAGAGTGATCGCCCATCTCCTCAGCCACACGTTTTGACATGCTAACAGCGGCAACTCGACGCGGCTGCGTCACACCAATCATGCCCGACGTCGGGGAGTCGGGCGAGCCGTAGCCTGCTTCAAAGAGGAATTGAGGTACTTGTGTCGTCTTTCCGGAACCGGTGGAACCGCACACAACGATGATGTCGTGGTTGTGGATGGCCTCCATAATCCTCTGCTCCTCACCCACGACGGGGAGTTTGAGACGAGCTTCCTGAATCTCGGGCGTTCTTGTCACGGTCACGCCAAAGGCCTTGCGGGCGAGGTTGACCGAGGGCTGAAGTTCCTCTGGCAGCGGCTCATGCTCGGCAGCGCGTGGTGTAAAATTGTCTGGCCGGGGAACGTCGAGTATTTGCGTCGACTCGCTCGCCGGCTTGAAGCCTAGAGCCTCGTTCCTCTGTGCCGTCGCCCATGCCTTGAAAGCCGAGGGTTTCGCTTCTGAGCTGCTGTCATCGCTACCGCTGTCGCTGTTGCTGTCGTCCTCATCGGAGGCGCTCTCACCGTCTTCTTCTTCATCGTCATCTTCATCAGAGTCGTCCCCGGATCCAGACTCGGAAGCATCCTCTTCGGTGTCGGCAGAGCCAAGCTTGGCACCGCCGGCGGCTTCGTCTTCGGAGCTGAAACCGCTCCATTCCTCCTCTAGGTCGCCCTTTGCCGGTTCGGCAATGGTGAACTTGGACTCGACACCTCCGCGCCGTTGACGCTTGCGCAGCACCGGCCTGCCTGCTTCGTCCAGATCGAGCGGCCTCTTCAGACCAGAGCCTGCAGCTGCCGTAGAAGGCTGGGGCGCAGTGGTTGTTGTGGGAGCCTCGGTGGGCGTTGAAGCGGGCTTTTGGGCCGGTATCGGTGCCGGCTCGTCATCCTCACTCTCCTCAGCTGACGAAGAGTCCTGCTGCCGCGGCCTCTCGAACAAAATCTCGTCGCCGTCCTCGTCCACTTCGACACCGGCCTTCCTCTCCCTCATGGCACGGCTGATGGCCTGCCTCTTCGTCTCCTTGCCCTGGCCGATGGTCTTGGAGCTGGTGAACAGGTTCGTGTCAATCTTGCTCTGCGACAGCTTGGCGAGGATCTCGCGGTTCTCGTCCTTGCGCAGCTTGTTCTCGATGTACTTGTCGAGACGTTTGGCCTTCTTGCCGCTGACCTTTACGTCGCCCTGCAGCTCCTTCTTCATGCGCTCCTTCTTCTCGCGCATGAGCCGCCTCTCCTCGGGGTCGATCTGCTCGGCGTTGGTGTCGGCGTCGAGCGGGGTGACGGCATTCTCCTTGGCCTTTTCGCGGGCCAGCACCTTGTGCTTGCGCTGCCGTGGGACAAACTTGGCCATGTTGGCTTTTGGTGGGTGGTATGTGGTGGTGGATGGGGGTGTGAGATGAGCTGGCTCGGTTCGAGGTGAGAGCCAGTCTAGGCGGGATTAAGAGGAGGTGAGAATGCTCAGTGGTGTAGACCCTGCTGCTCCTTCGTTCTAATCCGATGCCGCTTCAATCAATGGTCCAGGGAGAAAGGCAGCGCCGCGCATGCCGTTTGGTATCTTTTGAGCTGCTTGGTCGTTATTAAACACCATCCATCAGCAAGCAGCCCGGTGAAGCAGCAGCGACTGGAAATTTTTGGGCGAGAAACGTTCTGCCAGGCATGACCGCCCTCTTATCCGTCGAAACAAGACTAGCGCGGTCTAATCAAGATGGCGGGGCCACAGTCACTACGAAGCCCCCCACCGACAGCTCCAGTACAGGCAACAGCTCTCACTGAATAGTGCCGTCTGCTGCCATACACCCAAATCCAACAAGCTCACCGTCCCTTGAACGTCGCCATGGATACCAACGAAGAGGCCAGGGAACAGAGCTTCCCTGCGAAGACGAGAAAGGCTCTAGGCACCATCAATGGCGTCGCAACAGAGGCCAACTCGGTCTGGTTCTCCGACCGCATCATGATCACCATGTCCCAAGAGGGAAGGCTGTCCCAGTGGGTGCGTCTTCCTGCCAACCGTCCTTTTACGCATGTGAAGAGAAAGTCAAGGACTCACAAATGCTAGGTCCACGTTCCCATCCTGCCCTCGCCAGCAGACATGGTCGACATGAACCTGTCATCGAGCAGCAGGGGGATGCTGCCCTCCACGCACCTCACGGCCACGACGCTCCTCGGCGGCGGCGGCGACGAGAGGGAGACGCTGGGCCAGTTCTACGCCGCCCAGATTGCGCGACTCATCAGTCTGCGCGACCCCGAGGACCGTCGCACCTTGGTGCTGGGCCTCGGCCTGCTGAAGGTCGACACGGCGCGGGAGGCCTTCTTCGACACGATGGACCTCATCAAGGAGGTGCTGTGAGCTGTCGCCAGACTTACTGTCGAAAGAATGCTGCATTGTTCTTCGTATACAGTGGGGGCCTCTGTTGCACGCCACGATGGAGAGCCTGCAGCATATTTCCGAGCAGCTTGTAACTCGTTCCTCATACAATTCGACCCTCATTATACCGAAGTTCTGGATGCAACGGCAACGAGAGCACGGGGCAGCGACTGGTAGCGACTTGCAAGGCTGCATTCGGTGCCGCCTATCCATTGAGTTCAGCGCAGCGAATCGCCAGTCACTCGCAAATCCGGTCGGGTCGAGGGGGCTCCGTCGGATAAAGCGTACAAAGGAGCTGCGCGTCGCGAAACCTCCTCTGCACTTATCCGTCGGGTCTCCCCCAACGTGCTGCGATCCACACGCCAGAGCTTCATCCCAACACTGCATCAATACCCCGAATTGCCGACGTCGCGTGGCCGATTGTGGGGATTGAGACAGGAGGAGCAGAAGGGAGGGGGTGGGAAACAGCTAGTTCCACGAGCGCCTTGTAGAACACCGCAGGCGAGGCAAAACGTCATGCGGAGAAGGCCATGAACGGCAACTCGGCAGCTGCTCTCTGCTGTTCGACATGCTGCTCAACCTTCAATAGACCTTGTTCGCCGGGCGCCCATTTTGTATTTGCCACTTTCCACCTGTGCGATTGCCATTGCTCCATTGAACGAACAGAGAGGATTCCGCCCGACCATCCCAGCCACAGCAGACGCCGCCCAACATGGCCAACCTCAACGAGAACGGCATCCCGCCCTTCGAGAGCCTGCCCCTCGGCGCGAACGACCCGCCCTTCTCCGCCTGGGGCCTCTACGGCCAGAGCGACGAGCTCGGCACGCTCAACCGGCTGACAGACGAGCGCGTGGCGGCGGCGGCGCGGGACGAGATCAGGACGGGCTTCCGCGTGTCGCTCAACTGGCCGCTCGACGCGCAGTCGCAGGGGACCTTTTTCTCGCGCGCCGCCTTCCACCAGGACATGTTCCAGAAGACGCCGCGGTTCATCAACGACGACGTGTGGACGTTCAACTCGCAGAGCTCGTCGCAGTGGGACGGCCTGCGGCACTACGGCTACCAGCAGGCGCGGCGGTTCTACAACGGCGTCACGATGGAGCAGGTGCACGGCGTCGACGAGCACGGCGCCCGCTCGACCGTCAACGGCATCCAGGCCTGGCAGGAGCGCGGCATCGTCGGCCGCGGCGTGCTCGTCGACTTCCACGCCTGGCGCCTCGCGCAGGGCCGCGACTACGACGCCTTTGGCCACGACGACGTGTCGGTCGACGACCTGCGCGCGTGCCTCGCCGCCCAGGGCACCGAGGTCCGCTTCGGCGACATTCTCCTGACGCGCACCGGCTTCATGGCGGCGCACGCCGCCAAGTCCAAGGACGAGCTGCAGGCCCTGCAGGCGACGCTGCCGCACACCTTTGGCGGCCTGCGCCAGGGCGAGGACACGCTGCGCTGGGTGTGGGAGAACTTCAGCGCCGTCGCCGGCGACCAGCCCTCGTTCGAGTGCTGGCCCACCAAGCTCGACTACGCCATGCACGAGGTCCTGCTCGCCGGCTGGGGGTGTCCCATCGGGGAGCTGTTCGACCTCGAGGCCCTGGCGGCGCACTGTCGCAAGGAGGGGCGCTGGAGCTTCTTCGTCGCGAGCGAGGTGTGCAATGTGCCCGGCGGTGTGGCCAGGTGAGTTTAGCCTCTGAACAGTGCCATGTTTCGAGGAGAAGACGGCTGATCAATCCACAGTCCGCCCAACATCCTCGCCATTTTCTAAGGGTACTGATGGTAGAGCACGTCATGAACAGGGTCAACGGTGACGACGGAGGAGGATCGGCGAGGCGGGATGCGGAGCCTACCTGCCATGGAGCTTGACGGCGCGGTTGGTATTTGGTACTGTCGGGTTGCTATTGGCAGTATATATATGTACGAGCAAGCAGGGGAGAATTCCAGCACATTTCAACTTCCTCCGAAGCCAGGCCTGCGCAGAGCCTATACACATTCATCAACAACGGACATCCCCATACGGCTGCACCACACATGGACAGCGAGACGCATTCCGTCCCCTGTAGAGTGGGCATTCCTGTTTATGCTGTCTTCATAACTCATCACTCCTGGTTCCAAGCAAACATCGGAAGCATGCCGTGCGCCGTAGAGACAACCGTCTCTGCATGCAGAACGATAAGCCCACCTTCTGATACGCAGTCATACCTGGTGCCATGGTCCCCACGTTGTAGTCCTCCCGTTTGCCCTTCGTTCACGACCCCTCGGTGTGCATCCGGCCCCGCAGATGTTGCTTATTCTTTTCATCGCTTGCGATCACTAGGGCCACAATTAGCAACGCATCAAGACGCCAAAGACAGCATAATCACTCACGTGCTGAGCCTCCTGCTAAGCTGCTGCAGCTTCTTGTCGTTGGCTGCATCCTCGGCAGCCTTCTCGAGATTCTGCCGCCTCTCTTCCTCCTGATGCCTGGCGACCTCATCGTGGGTCGGCGGCAGCCTCTCGTTCTGGATATCGACCTTCCTCGCGTCCTCGAACGTGCTGATAGCGTTCTTGATGCCTTCGGCACCCAGCATGAGCGTGCCGGCAGGCAGACGTCCGCCAGAGACCGTCTTGAGCTCCGTGACGCGTTCAGACTCCTCGCGCAGAACCTGGAAGACGCGCGACAGACGCCCGATGGCCAGGATCTTGTTCTTGATCGCGCGCCTCTTGAACTCGATCGAGTCGGGGTCCATGTTGACGGCGGCGGCCGAGGACAGGGGAGGTGAGACGGGGCCCGGCGAGGTGGATGATGGCGTGGCGTCTTCTTTGAGCTCCTCCTCAGAGCACGTGCTGAGAATGGCAATGAGCATGTCGGTGATCTTCTCACCGACGAAGGGCAGCGACCAGGTGAAGACATCCATAAAGTTGGGGAGCCAGTAGGGGTGAGGCGTGCAGTTGAACTGGCGAATGTTCATAACATTGTTCTCGTACTTGAGAACGGCAGCCTTGTTGTTGTAAACGTCCAGGTAGTTGGGCGCCGAGAAGATGGTCATGACACTGGGGAAACCAGTGGTGCGTGTCTTGCGGTACATGCGGTAGCCTGCATCCTGGGCCTCGTGCGCACGAATGACGGATAGCAAGTTGTTCTTCTCGAGGAACGCGCAGGCGGCGGGGTAGGAGAAGAAGTAGGAGCAGCCTCGGACGTTATTGTGCAGGAAGTAATCGCTCGTCTTCTCCTGTCCAAAGTCTTCGAGCGGATCAGCCCACAGAATGTCGCACATGAGGCCTTGTGTAGGGGGTTCACGGAAACGGTCAATCTGCGACATGTCAATATGCGAGGGCTAGCAGACCGACACTCGCTTCAACGAGCCAGGGGAGGGGCTGGGACCTACGGTTCGCAGGTCATCGAGCGTGTGCAGCTCGGGGCTCAGACCACCGTGGATGCAGAGGAACTGCTTGTTCATGACAGCGGCCAGGGGGAGGGAGCAGAACGACTCCATGCAGGCCTCGTAGACGGCCTCGGAGTACTTGTGCTTGCACTCGAGCTTGAAGGTGAAGTAGTCTGTCAGGTGGCGACACTCGTGATTACCGCGCAGCAGCCACAGCGAGTTGGGATAGTGGATCTTGAGGCACCAGAGGTACAGGACGCACTCGATGCTGAAGTAGCCCCTGTCGACGTAGTCACCGAGGAAGAGGTAGCGGGTCTCGGAGGGGTCGCCGCCGACTTCAAAGAGCTTCATGAGATCGTAGTACTGGCCGTGGACGTCACCGCAGACGGTAATGGGCGCATCCATCTCGAGCAGGTTGGGTTCGGCGCGAAGAACCTCTGTGCCCTTCTTGAGGATCCATAGAGCCTGCTCCTCGGTCAAGCGACCCTCGCGATAGAAGTGCTGCTTGAGGAAGTTAATGTCGGGCTTGCTGTGGGTTTCGTCGTGGAAGAACTGCTCGTCGGTGGGCTTCTGCATGGCGGGGGCCTGCACATCTATTGGGACGAGTTAGCGAGTCGGTCGCGCAAGTATGATCATGACAATACAAGAGGGGCAGGCAAGAGGGGCAGGAAGGCGGGCGGGGGAAAAGTAGCAAGAGCAGAACAAGGACAGAGCATCAATTCAGTCGTGCTTACCCTTGCAGACACGTTCCATGGTGTTCACCTGGGTGCCATCTTCCATGGTATGGATGGTGAAGTCGATCTCGGGCAGGGGCTTCTTCTCGCGAATGGCACGGATGGCATTATCGACCTGCTGGTTGCGAGAGGCATCGGTGCCGGTAGGCGTGCCGGGATTGTCTGTGTCCATGGCGGGCGGTTTGGGGTGGCGGAGGAGGGGTTGGCCTGGTCGGGTGCAGAAGGCTCCTCGAGAAGCTGGCGAACAGGAGGGGCGCGGTGAGCGGCAGTCCAGAGGGAATACCAGCACCGAGTCCAAAGTCGAGTCGACGCGGGTCTAGGCAAGGTGAATCAAGTTCGCAATGGCGTCAAGCGAAGGGGAGAGGGACGGGATTTGAAAGGTCGCGTGGTTGGGCACGAGCGGGCGAAATTGAGAGCGGCGGGCGAACCAAGGCAGGGAGGTACCGGCGTAGGTGTAGGTGTAGGTGTAGGTGTAGGTGTGATAGGGCTGCGATGGGGAGGAGGCTCGAGGTGACGGGTTCGAGTTGCAGGTCGGGTTCAAGAGGCCGCCACAGGAGGGGGGGCGAGGAACTTGGGGCGAGTAACTTTGGCTGGAGCGCGGACCAGGGGACCACCCAAAGACGAGAAGGTAAGGTCAGCAAGCACTATCTGTGCTGGCTGTGCTGAAGTGCCGCCTACCTAACTTACCTACCTAGGTACCTATTCACCTACTAAGGTACCTAGCTGCTGCTGCTGCTGCTGCTGCTGCTGCTGACGATGGTGGGCTTGGAGGGGCCGGGGTAGCAAACAGACGAGCACGAGGAGGCGAGGCGAGACCAGTGGCAGGAGCAAAAAGAGGGGCAGGAAGGGGAGGGGGTGGGCAAGAGGAAGGGGGCACGCACGAAGCCAAAGGGGGCAAAGAGAGTGAGGGTCCAGGGTCAGGAGAAACAAGGTGAGCCCGGTGGGTAACGGTACGAAGGTACGAGGGTACGTGCGTACCTGCTCCGACGACTGTGGCTTGGATTTGTGCAACCCCCATTTCGTCATGGGCGCTTGGTCTATCTACCTACCTAGTATCCATAGCCATCTGCCTGGAGATGAGTGATGCTCTCTCTTTAGGTCCGACTCAAATGCCCAACCACTACTCGACGGAGAGACTCTCAACGGAGAGACTGAGAGAGCCGGTCGACTGAAAAGGCAGGCAATGTCGATTCCGTTCATCATGTCATCGCATTGTGGCTCCATAATGGGCTAGCTGCCAGCAACGAGCCTCGGGGATCGGGGATTGCGATCTCCACGCAAGGCTCTCCAGCCTGTGAGCAACATGTGAAATTCTACGCTTCTCAGGACTCTTTAATGACCACCATCTGTGCATCTTCCAACATGCAAGTCATTTTCAGACCCTTCTCACTATCACCTCCTACAGTTTTTCAGGCAAGCACATCGTGTCTCTGCCCCGTGTATCTTTCTCGTATACAAGCCAATGGCCCTAATGATCGACAGAGGGTTAGGGTCCGCCGTGTCCAACTGTCTGCCACAAGAGAATGGGAGGTCTTCTCTCACCCTCCAGGTATTTTGTAGAGATGGCACAAGCAACTGACTCTGTCTTGCTACTTATGCCAGCATCGAGGGCCCATACAAATTCGGCAGACAGCATTGCACACATCGTCCTGCGACCCAAACTCCAATGTTGTGCTGTGTCTCGAGTTGCATATCCAAACCCTGGCACAAACTGCCTCAAATCCAATTGACTCCAATTTGTTGACCAGCCCAAATACCCACAATGTGACATGTCTACCTACCTAGGTAGGTGATACCTGCACATTGCCTTGCGGGTGCTGTGGCTGGCCTGGCTGGCTGTTATCGACGAGGCTCTGTTGTGGCTGAGGGTGTGAGAGGAGCGGCCGCGGCCTGTTCTTCCTTCGTATTGCATCACCATCCATCCATCTACCTATTCGCAAGTGCACCTACTCATGCCGCAGGCCTCTTGGAAACACGAGCATGTTTAGCTTCAGAATCCTACCCCAGATTCAATTTCTATTCAAGTCAATTAGAATCCGGCTATCTACATAGCTTGGAAACGCATCTGCTGCGAAGCTGAATGTCCTCCCCCTCCCAATGCACCTACGCCGGCGAGTTTACAGTGGACAGCATCTACCCGACGACTTGGCTCAGGACATCCTCACGAGGAAAGTTGGTGTTTCTCCACCTCGAGATGAAGTCATCTCGGTTGACTCAAGACCAGGTTAGTTAATGTGACATCAGGATGTGGCTGAGGCCGGCATGGGGAACTCACTGTATGCACCGCACATGCGTCTCCGACCCTCAAACGCGCTTCTTCCATGCATGACCCGCCAGTTGTCGAAGACTGCAATCTTTTCGTCAGCTCTGATTTCTGAGCAAGGGAAGTTGGTCTCACGCACTCAGCAAATGGCCAGGGTTCAACTGCACCCAGTACTCGACCTCAGGTCTCCGAAGGATGGCATCCCACTTGCGTGCCGCAGCATACCATTCCGCCGGCGAGTAGCCCTCTCCGAAAGGCACGACTCCACGGTCGTCATTGTTCCACCTAACGCGGGCAAGCTTGCCGGTCGTCTCGTCCAGTTCTAGCACGGGGTACCGCTTGTTGGGTGCGATGGTGATGCCCTCGTTACCGCTGGCGTGCCATGGCAGCTTCACCTTGGACAAGATCTCATACGCCTGAGGGTCCTCTTCGAGAAGAATGCTGGCGGCGTAGAAACCGTCCACCAACAGCGATTTGCCGCCGAGCTCGCCCGCCGGAGCGCCTGGGGGTGCCTCATGAGACAGCATATGGAAGGCTTGGAGGCCAGCTGGGTCGCTGAAGTACGTCGTGTCCGTGTGGGCGGGCAGGGCGAGGTTGGTATAGGCTGTGTCGGCGTGGGCCATGTCAGGGATGAAGTCATAAAACCCGCCATAGTGAGTCTCCCGGATGAAGGCAATCTTCTCGAGCGCTTCTTGCGTCGCATCGGGGGTATCAAACGGCGTGCCACTGACGAACACGAAGCCGTTCTCGCGCTGTCTGGGGTCAACATGGTGCCGTGACGTGACTTGCACGCAAAAACTCACGATCAGATTCGTCAACCTGGCGATTCCGGACTCATTATTGGGCGTCATGAGTTCCTGGTAACTGACGACAGGACGATCGATATCTATATCGGCGCCCCACAGGCGCTGTCTAGAGGCTGTCAGCAATTGGAGAAAAATAAGTCACGGAGACCTGATAAGGCAAACAACTCACTCGACATCCTCAGAGCTACGATGATCGTTCTTCAAGTAGTGCTTGATGAACTTCCAAGGATAAAAGCTCTGGTGCCCGTCTCCTCTCCCTGCAAACCGTTAGGCCTGGAAAGGATACAGCAAATGCATGGTCAGTCTGATTTGATTCTCACACTTGATGCTGAGGCCTTCAGCTCCAGGCGTCACCTTGTCAGGCCGGATTGTTTCGCTGATCTGAATATGGGTATGAATCAGCACACCCGAACCAATTGGCATGCGGTAGAACTGACTGCAAAAGTCTCAAAGTTACGTTGCATCGTTTGTTGGTTGACGCATTTCTCACAGCGACAGTTATCTCTGCGTCCAAACGTTAGGACCGAAGTTTGCACCGCGTCACTGTTCATCCCCTGACATGGTCAAACATACCTCAGCCAAAAATGCGGCCTAGGAAGAATCAGGTCAGCAGACAGCCTGCATCGGGTGTAACAGGAGAGAGGGGCCTGCGACCTACAGGGTCTCTCTCTTCACATGTTCGCCTTGCAAGTTTCGAACACGAAGACCGTCGGGACGCAGCTGGACATCGTAATGGGTAGCGTCTGTTGGGTGAGCTGTCGTTGACGAGAGTCTGGCAATGCATGCAGGTCGAGCTACACTGCGCAGTGTCAAGGGACGCACAACGGCTCTGCATCTAGTGTCAGTCAATGCAACAATCGTGCTAGACTGTCTTAACTTACCCCGCGAGTGTCTTGGCTGTTCTGATTGAGGGAAGCATGACGAGCATGAAGGCAAGATCACGAGGTTATCAATCACAATGAAGCAAAAGAGAGGAAGAAGACCAGCGCCACCAAGCTACTTGATAACAGCTCTCCCCGCAATGGAATGGCCCGATCGGATCATCGGACTACTGGGCTTTGGGCTTTTGGCTCTGATCCGGGGGCATTCGACCAAGACCAGCTTGCGGGTCCGCATCGCCCCGGCCGGCTGTTAGCGGCCATTTTAGGCCTCGGCAACGCCCTTTTCTTGTGTCTATTAACCTCCGTCGTGCCTCTAGCCCTTGTTGCTCTTCACAGCGTCGTCAAGTTCGAAGGGCACGGCTCGTCTCGAAGCTCGTCATGTCTTCATGCACCTCGCTTGCAAGAGTCGAGGCAGACTCGCAGGCAGATCGGTTGGCCGTTAATCGCGTCCCTGCCAAGGCGGCGTCGCCTCGTCAAATGCCAGACAATTAGACGCCGTGACACGCTGGTCGTGCATGCTGCATTGGCTTTGCAAACCGCATCATGGTCGATTCTACGCGACCGCTTACTGACCCAATGGATAGTGGCTTCTAGCCGCCCAAGGTCGCGACACCATGATGCAGCTCAATAGACGTTTGATCCAGAGTGTCGGGACCAACCACTGCCCTTGACAGACTTGTTTCCTGACCAAGCTGCTGGCCTGAGTTGGACCTTTGATGGAGCCGGACCGGCTGAAGGCTCACCAGGGCCGCTTGACCAAATGCTCAAGAGGACTGCCCTGCCATCGATGAGTATGCTTAATTTGTGTTCCTGTCTCTGGCATTTTTGTATCTTCTGTTATGCTTCCACTCGCTTTTCTTCTCGATACCCCATGGTCAGGGCACCATGCCGTCTTCAACACTCTCAAGCAGCGTCAGTCTGTTCTTCTGGATTACGCTGCATGGTGCTTTAGCATTCCGAATCGACATCAAACACCTCAGATCGCGCGAGCATGCTGTTTCACAATGTCCGTTCGACACTTACAAGCCATGCGGGAACGGACTTGAAGGCGACATGTGTTGCGACAGCGATTCAACCTGCCTTGTCACAGCGGCGAACACAACCGGCATCTGCTGCCCTAGAGGGAGCGACTGTACCGCCATTGCACCTCTTTCCTGCAACATCGACCTGCAGAACTGGAGAGTCTACCCGGACGCCACTGTGATGACCATGGCTCTCCACC